GGTGTCGTAAGAGGCGACTAAAGGAATTCAATGGTCAAGGGATGGGCAGCAGAATCCCTCTTAAAACATCACCAAAGCTTAACTACGGTTGCTAACCCGTTTGCCAAGTGCCAAGTTGCAACTATCGGAAAACCCCCTAACAGAGGAAGGCCCATATTCAGCAGTGGACAGGTAATGGTCAGTCATTATGATGATTAATATCATTAACAAGACATTATTATTAAAAGTATCGCTTGTTATATTAATTAACTTTATTACCTGTCAACAACAATGTGTAGCCTCTGTGTAGAAATTACAAGCGAGCGAGCAATCGCCGATTTGGCCAACCCACTGCGACAATGAGTTGCCAAAAACAGATTAGAATCGCTGACTTTAAATTAATTTTGCACAACATGAAAACAACAGCAAAGCTAATTTTCCCAGTCATTTTCATTAAAATATGTAGATTTTAACAGTAAAGGGACCGTATGAAAACTGTAAATGAAGATAATGTAGAGCTATAGTAATATTTTCATAATACGAGTACAACAAAGAAATCGACTTCAATAATAACAAAAATAATACTGGACCAACACGCGAATAATCGTTATAAATTATAAAAAAAAAAGTAACAAAATCAGTTGAGAATTCATGAAGATATCTTATGATATACAAAAACGGACGAATCGAGAATACCTCCTTTAAGAAATTGCTTTAAAAGATATTATTGGCATTATATTGATTTAAGAAAATAAAAAAAAATACAAAATTGCAATGATATTTAAAATTTATTTTAATTTCATATGATTCTCGAAAATCTGATCTAATCCTGCATGGATTTTTGAACATTAGGAAACTAATTCATTTCAATTTCCCTGTCGGAAAAATATTTTATTTTTGTGAGATAAAACAAAAAAGCTTATAACGAGTTAAAAATCAGTGCACAGTAAAGATTCTATCATACAGATGAAACTAACTACGCTTTTATTTATCACATAGTCCCTCTGTATTTTGAATGAGAAAAGGTTAATTCTCTTAAGATAAGGTAATATATTGCCGTGTGGTCCCGGCATAGAATAGGCCACCCCTTTTTCCCGTGGGAATCCTAAGAGGCGACTAAGGAAGGGCGAAGGATGGGTAAGCCTGTGATTGCCAATCCACATGCGAAGCATGGTAACTACTGGGAAAACTCTCCAAGGGAGAGGCTTATGATTAGCAGCGGATAATTAAAGGCTGATATGATGATGATGAATGTAATATAGTTAAAATTACGACACTTTTATTGGATGATCGTAAAACCTTAGATAGAATAAGGTGATATAAAGAAATCTAGATACATATTTCAAATTGGATCAAAAATCATGATAAATTGGAATGTTGGGGAGGAATCCGGGATATTTTAAATACACAATCTGGATTTAACGCGATGAAAAATTTTGTAGGTAAATAGTACTTACATACCTGTTTCTTTATTGCCGACGTTTCGACGTGAATTGCACCACGTCGTAGTCACGGTATTACTATTTACGTGCAAAAATTTTTCATCGCGTTAAGTCCCAATTGTATATTTAAAATATGTGTAAACAATGCCAAATAAGAATCGGGGATGTTGGGATGTGGCTGGTACATCGGCATATGATTTTCAATTTCTTTATGGTGCAATTATTTTTATATATGTAGTATTATTATATTCACATGGATACTATTACATAAGCGATTAATATAATGTATAAAGCATATCTGTAAACGTCTTGCTTTAAGAAAATTTTCTATAAAATTGGACCACAAGTAAAAATATTTAAGTGCGTTATTTCTTTATAAATATGTGTGGGCTTTTAAAAGCAAGATATTCGAAATTGTGAATCCTAGATATTTTCTTCTATTATGTTGAATAGTGGATGGAAAATACCTGTTATTTATCATATTGTGCCGCATAGCCTTAATAACCTGTGTATTTTACACACTTACCAGCATAATATACTTACCATTTCTCCCAATTTACGTAAAAACCCTATAAAATCAAATTCAGTTTGATAAGCATACAAATACACGTTTAATAATAAAAGCATTAAAATTGATCTAGATTATCTGTAATATTTATCTAGGTGTAGAATAGTTACATAACTCTTTAAAAAGATAAACAAGAGACTTACATTCACAAATGTATTGTCTTATTGTGAATATTCTACTATATTATAAGATAAAGGAGATTAAATATAAAAAAAAATTGATTTAGATTGATAATTGCGTAACTATATGACCTGAAAGCAATGATTATATTCTTAGAGGTCAATTCATTTGTTATAAACGAAAGTCTTGGCTTTTATTCTAAGTATTTTTTTATAACTTTTGACGATGTTAATTCTTATATTGTTTAATAAAAATAAATTTAACTTTTTTTTACGTCGTTAATCACCAACGCAATTTTGTTTCCTTCAAAACTATCTTCTGTAAATATATACATTTGTGCCAGAGTTTTTTCTAATAGTGAAAGAACTCTCGAATTTTATCTCTTCAAAATATCAAGAAATTTGGCAAAACATTTATATGGTTTTCTGTAGCCTCGAGAAAAAGTTGAATAAGGTCATGTTTAGCAAATGGTTACTATGGCTGAGGCTAAAAGGATGTTGTTTACCAAATCCGTAACGAGCAAACGTACAAATGATGATTTTAATTGACGTGCAATAATTTCAAAATTTCTTATTCCCAAATTATCCGATAAATTGTTCTAGAATATGCCAATCTTACCTGCAAACTTTTTGATAGTGATTTGGCGAGCATCGTGAATAATTTACAGGAAGACCGTCATTTGTTTAAAATTATTGTCAGTTATTGATGTTGTGACGTAAAAAAAATACGTTATTAGGATATTTTTTTGAAATGTTTGTACAATTTGTAAGTTATTGTTTACAAGTAAGGAGTTAGATACCTCATTACATATACACAAAAAATACGAAGACGTCCAAACTTTTCGATTATCATCAAGGAATTAATATTTGCAATAAACGCGTATAAACATAGGCAAAGAATAAGTGAAGAAACAAATTGATTATAGGTATAATTTGAAAAGTGTAACAACTGAGATGAAAAAAATATCATCTTTTTTTATATATTCATATAAAAACTTGCAAAAAGTTAAAATTACAATAGATAATAAAGTATTAAATCATAAAGCAAATTTTATATACATGTGAAATTAGAAACGTAATTTTCATATACATTTTACAGCCTCTAAAATCTCCAAATTTTCTCATTTTGTTTCTCGTTCCCTCTTCACAGAAGTACATGAGAACTACTCCCACATAGGGCAGACATTACTTACAATATATTCAGTCATTATTGTTATCATCTGCATAATACGCCGTTTCGTTTTACATAATGAGTTCAGACCTATGAATAAGAATGTACAGAGACAGTCGCAGTACGTTCCCTCACTGAGTTTAACAAATCCTTTTTAGTATAGTTTTATTTACATTTTCGTGTACGCTTTTATCATATTAGAGAACAGTATTTTCTATGCTGCAGGCATTTAATTTGAGAAACGAAATAAAATCGTTTTTCATTTTTTAATTTTTAGATTATAAAGAGCATTGTTAATTCGTTGCCAATAAAGGTATTTCTGCTTTCTTTTTACATTTAACTTTATATGATCTGTTTGAATTATGATTAACTGATATTATATTAAATAATTTCTGTTACATAAAGTATTCGATACATTTAGCAACTAATAATATAACTAGTGTAAGAAAATGTTCATTAAATTTGGAAAACTGTAATAGATCACGTTATTAATCAATACTGTAATACAAATTTGCTTAATTCAATTGATATAATTATCCTACCCTGTGATTCGTTGAATTGCTTCCTGAATGGAATCCTTAAAAATATTAGAGCAGTAATTGAATATGCGATGATATAATTAGTTTGCTATTTGCCAGTTTACAATTTGAAGCGAATATCCACACTAACACAAGAAAATCCAATTCCATTTGTATTAAAATTTAGCACTTGACGAAACAATAGATTCGCGGTTATTCGCTCAGTGACCGCCCCACGTGCGGCTCGGGCGGGTACCAAACATCCAACTGCGCGATCTAGATGCGCAGTTGCTACAGGTACCCTCATAATAATACTACATTACCGACCCCTAAACAAAGGACTACCAATCAATTAGGGTCAGATCGTCTAGCCGACGCCATAACGAAGGTCGAGACTTAAGTCGAAATCGCTGAAAAGAAATCGCCCATTAACTACTACTTTCCAAACACTCCAAAACTACGGTCATGGCTCGACACTGGCATATGACGCGGCAAAAGAAGAAAAACGCGCAATATGCGCCGGAAAGAGACAGGAATACGTAAATTAACTAAGTGTTAGAGTGAGAAAGGTTCAAACATTTTGTAAGCTGATAACCAGAGGCAGCGAACAGAGCGAGGGGAACCATATTCTCGCGCGACTCTGCATGAATGTAATGAATTAAGATTCAATGGTATAAGCAAGACTTTGTGCGTGCGTGTGAATCGTATTCAATAAAAAGCTTCGTGCTTCGGAAGTACTTACTTATCGTGTACTTTAGTTCATTATGAACTCAAAATGGTGGTGAATACAGAATTAATGTTTAATACAATTAGAAGCCAATTAAAATTCATTATTAGAGCAAAACTACACTTTGCTTTTGCTTATAATCTTGATACGATATCGGTATGAATTAACTGTATTCAATGGGAGGTTACACAATGAGCCGAGGAGGAAAACATTTTCTAAGATCTCAACGTTTCAAGGTCTTCTAAACAATATTGAAAAATAAGGCAATTAAGAAACAGAAAAGCTTTACGTTTCGTAAGCCACGTTATCCCTATCGATTCAAGGATACATCCTTACACTCAAATACATGCGCTGCAGTATAGAGGCGCTTTCGTTTTAAAACAAAGCAGTCGCGAAACGCGCTCCTCGAATGCGTGGCGCGATCGCACAAGAGTCACACACGCAAACGAATGCAAAAATTATCAAGTGATTTTTACCTATACATCCATGGAAATGCAATCCATCATTGGATCCTCTCGTATCCCACGTCCGAAACACGCACACAAAGAACCAGCGCGCACACTAGCGCACCGGACCTCCTCACGCGAAGGGAAAATCTTCACACACGACACAGATAAACATGTCAACTGCTAGACATCGTTACCCTAAAGTTCTTTCACGTTTTTCACCACAAAATCACTATTATGCACAAACGATAACACAAACAGCATAAATGAACACAGAAACACGCAATTATTTCGCAATATCACCCGCGTCCAAGTCACGAACACGACGATTTCGACAAAAATACGCGTAGGTATTGTAGTGTCGATTCGGCGACTGTTCTCCCCGCCCTGTTCCAGAGACGAATGGTGCCGCCATATTGAATCTCACTTGATGGCGCGCAGTAGCGCATCTAGCGGTGATAGACAGAACGAAAGAGTTTACACCGCCACTCAAAGTCGAATCTATTGCAATTACAATTAATATCTTCATAAATAATAGAAAACTTGTCGATTTTTTAATAATGATTTTTCTTATTACGTATTTATGGTTAGATGACTATATTTTATTGTTTTCATGAAGGAGTTTATGTAGAGTTATTTTAAGTAAGCAGGCTACATGTTGCGCTCATGTTAAAGTTATAGCATCAGCCGCTAGATAGCGTTAATAAACTGGTTTCTTCTGCAAATAATATCTTGTTCAAGTGCGTAATATCGTTCATATAAATAAAAAAAATGAAGAATAAAATATGCAGTACAATATAAGTACGTTGTTGAACGTTATCGTTTAACCATTTGTTTCCTGTTAATATTATTGCAATACCGCTAACACACACGTACATTTTGCCCAAACTTACCCTATTTTGTTATAACATTATAACGTATTTAAGAATGTCGTAGAAAAATTTCACAGTATTATTTATTGTTTAAAACTTGATACCTAAAATATCCTTTTTGCCTTAACTTCCCTTTCTATGATTATTTTCAAACCATTTTTTTAAATTTATTTAAATGATTTTATTTCGATAATTATTGAATTAATATATATATATATATATATATATATATATATATATATATATATATATATATATATATATATATATATATATATATATATATATATATATATATATATATATATATATATATATATATATATATATATATATATATATATATATATATATATATATATATATATATATATATATATATATATACTAGAACACATTATTAAATTAACTATTGTACAATGTAAAGGTTCAACATGATTATAAGTAAGTTAATTTATAATACTTAAATACATAAATAGAATAAATAAATAAAGTTGTGAAACTGAGCGAGTCCACGAGCGCGCATATGATTTAACATAAAAAGCATTCGTGCACTCGAACATAGTTTATAAGAGTATAAAAACAAAATATTCAGTCCAATAGTGACCGAGACACTGTACTACTACATATATACGGCTATAAATATAAGTGTAATTGGAAAGTAAAGAAATAAAATGATTCAAAGAAGAAAAGTATAATTTGTTATAGTTACAAATGAATAAAGGATGAACCAGGACAAAACCAAGTAATTTCAGTAACGAGTACGTACGAGAGTACGAGTCTCTTCACCTCTTGATTGATTAATTATTATAAAAGCTTGAAAGTATTAGTGATGCACTTTTAATTAGAGTCATCTTACATTCAATGTTGTTTTATAGATATAAAAAAAAAAAAAAAACAAATAAATGGTCAGGGTCATCTTTTTTTTTCAGCATCAGGAACACAAAGTAGCCTTAAAAGTGTAAATAATAATGAAGAATAATAATAACAGAAATTTATATTATTATTAGGCTATTATTATTATTATTATCTTTGGTGTGTTAATTGTCTTCAATTAAAAATTTGCTGTCTGAAATATTACCAAAAATAAGAAGGGTTAATAATATATAAGATATTTGTTTGTTTGATAGATTATAAATTATAATAATATATAACGTTTGCATATCCACTTGTATAATTTTATTTTCTACTACATTGAAAATGGATACCAATTCATGTAATCATACGGTTCATTACAAAGATGAAATATTGAATCGATCTGGGACATGTTATTTGCTCTGCGCACGATAACAATTGTGGTACGTAGTTGTGGTCGATCTGCATATTATAGATGTTATTACAGTACTTCTACAATGCGACATTTAAAAGATTTTACTGCATCTTTTTATAGCCCTTTATCTATCGGCGTATACCACCATCAACATTGTATAAATGCTGTTTTAAATTCTGAAATTTCAATTATCTTTATTATTTGTAATAATTAGAGGTTCTAATATTTACTGTTCATAACATTTTATGTAACTTAGCTGACATCTCACTTGTAAAGTACTATAAATATGAAAACATGGTGGATGTTACAAAAACTCTATGTGACACCCATGATACTCTTCATGCATTGCTATTCCTAGGAATATGCTTAATAAAGCCGCCATGCATTGTAATTTTACTGACATATCACTGACTCTTTAAACCAAATACAGTCATGAAGCACAACAGTTCCTCGACAGAAACATGAATGAAACAAAGGTGCTAAACAGGTATTTTTTTTACTAAATCTTATTTTAGTAAAATGAAACATTATTGTTTCAAATAGTAAGTTTAATATGTACGGTACATAAATAAGATTCATCGCACACTATTAATTTAAAAGGCCATATTTACCAAAACGTCAACACAGCTTTCACCGGTTAGCCATTTTCAATTCATTCAATGCCTACCAATCTGTCCGCAAAAGTCATTGTTGGCAATAAGCCAATACTAATATAGAGGTGACACAGTATATTTAAGACATTAGGTAATGTGAGGTCGATTAACTGTGCAGGCCTTGTGGGGCGTAGAAGACAAGTTAGGTTCGGTTTACTGGCGGATTTCACTCTTACTGTAAATGGATTATTTATAAGGATTGTTTATATGTAAATTTTTTACACTTTATTATTTTTTACATTTTTTTTTGACTAATATTGCAAACTATGCATTCTAATAGTAAACAATTATCGTATATACATATTTAAAAAATTACAAAAACAAAAAGACATATCCACATTAACAACTTTATTTATTAATATTGTAGAAGAACATATTGTATTTAATAAAAATAAATCATTTGTTATAAATTTCATAAAAGATATTAAATTTAAATTGATATCGCGCAGGATATGAATATACTTACAGATTAATAGAATCTCATAAAAAAATAATAATAAAGCACTTGTTCTTTTTTTCTTGACTTATCTTGTTGACTTGTTGTTTTTTTTTTTTTAATGGGTAATAATGGAATGGTGATATAAACAGCAGGATGCAATAATAAAACATATATATATATATATATATATATATATATATATATATATATATATTTGCAATATAAAATATTCAGTTAAGTGAGAGTTTTATGAAAGTTTGTTTGACTGTTGAGGGATGGTAGGTGAGAATAAAAAAAGCAGGTCAGTTAGCCCACCCTGATGAATCAAGCTCGATTTGGAGATCGAATATATACTGTTAACAGACTGATAGTTAATAATTCTTTCTTCCCATTTGTCGACTGTAACCGTCGTGGTAAACCCAGAAGACAAGGATTGTGATAATGATGAACCTAAGAATAAATAAAAAAAAAATATTTATGATTAACGTAACATTCGATATGTAAACGCTTTTGTCAAGTATATAGAAAAATACAATAAAAACATGGGTCTCATATTATACACAGTTTGTTACATAAAAAAAAAGAAAAACATCCCCACTGATATTATCTTGGAGTTAATTTATATATCATCTCGAAATCATCATTATAAAAATTAAAACTCTTTCTGTTTATTTGGTTTCGGCATAGCATATTTTGCTTTCCACTATTTTTTTTAATATGACCATTATGTGATACAATTGGCCTAATAGTAACACACTGTAGATATAAACTTTCTTAAATGACTTGACTGTCTATGTAGGAAGTAACATATCACACTTGTTCTACAAAGCAAACAAAACTAACATAATCCTAGTATCTAGCCGTGACATCGTGAAACGGGAACGCGTTCGTCATGCTGCAACGGAGGCGATTTCAAAAATTTCTCTACACTAATGGCCTTTGTATCTCAGTCTATATACGTGAATATATTAATTTAACCAAATGCAGTGTTGGACGATCACAAACGCATTGCAGGGAGTCAATGCATGCAGGTAGCTCAAAATCGTTCCTTATTGCAGTCTTTGGGGGAAACCTATGTTCAGCAATGGATAGTAAATGGCTGATATGGTGGTATAACTTAATAGTGAAAGAGCTTGGGTATAATATGTTTAAATAAAAAAAAAGAAATATAAATAAACCTATAATTGACTAGGTTGTGACCTAATCAATTATAGATACGTGTGACAGACTGCTAAAGTCGAATGGTGGTAGTAATTTTAGTAGTAATCAAAAAGTTTTCATTTGATATGAATTTAGAGTGTGTCTGTATTTTCTGTATTTTGACAAGTTTTGATTTGTCTTTTTACTAAGTTCTATCGAAATAGATTATCTGCATACACAGTATATATGGACATCATGTAAGGGATTACTTATCTGACTGTTCTTATTTTAAAATGGTAAACGGTGAATTGTTTCGTATATATTTAGATTTAAAATATTTAAACTTCAAACATCGAATCGAAAAAAAATTATAAATAGGTTTTATTCCGTATCAAGCAGTATCTTGATCTGTAAACAAAACCGCAGCTGTCGTGATAAGGTTAACATAGGAACAACATGAGAAGTAAGCCCTATCAATTATATTTATATTATTATAGAAGATATTAATAAAAAAAAATACAAATTAACTTAGAACCTCTTCCGTTTGAAAGTCACTTAAAAGCCACAAATTGCATTATATTTGGTGTTTACTTTCACCCTATTAGCGATCTGGTATTGAAGTTATGACCGGTCATTATGTTGGTATACTTTGTTAAAAAATTATTAATTCAATGAAATAACATACATATATACAATAACAATTTAATGTAATAAAATTATTCTCTTAAATCTTTGATATAATAACGTAAAAAGAAGTTAGTTGCTAACAAAATTAAACAAAAATTAGTAAAAACAAAAATATCCATATAATGTAAATCTTAGTATGAAAAAATCCTAAATTCAAATCATCTTTATTCAAATTGTTTACAAGCACTTTCAAATCGTTATTTTTTTATTTAATGTAGGTTTCGGTAAGTTGTTATCTATTAAGAAGAGTCCGCAAAAATCTCAATAGTTACTCTTAAATCTCTGTTAACATATGTATATATATATATACTATAAGTTCACATATATTTATTAATA